AATAAAGAGAACAAAGGGTCTTAGAATTTCTAAAGCTCAAGCTCCCTACAAGAACTAGCAATAGCAAAATGACAAAACAAGTAAAAAAAAGAAAACGAAAGATCTGTTAAGAGAAACTCTAAAGCAAAGCTCCGTACAGGAATGTAGAATGAAAAATTGGCAGGCAGTAAAATAAAGAGAACAAAGGGTCTTAGGGAAATTCTAAAGCAAAGCTCCCTACAGGAACATAGCAATAAAAATTGACATACAGTAAAAAAAAGAGAACGAAGGATTTTAGAGAAACTCTAAAGCAAAGCTCCCTACAGCAACTTAGCATGAAAATTTGACAGGCAGCAAAATAAAGAGAACGAAGGGTCTTAGGGAAATTCTAAAGCAAAGCTCCCTACAGGAACATAGCAATAAAAATTGACATACAGTAAAAAAAAGAGAGCGAAGGATTTTAGAGAAATTCTAAAGCAAAGCTCCCTACAGCAACGTAGCAATAAAAATTGACAGACAGTTAAAAAAAGAAAACGAAAGATTTTAGAGAAACTCTAAAGCAAAGCTCCGTACAGCAATGTAGAATGAAAAATTGGCAGGCAGTAAAATAAAGAGAACAAAGGGTCTTAGGGAAATTCTAAAGCAAAGCTCCCTACAGGAACATAGCAAAAAAAATGGACATACAGTAGAAAAAGAGAACGAAGGATTTTAGAGAAACTCTAAAGGAAAGCTCCCTACAGCAACGTAGCATGAAAAATTGGCAGACAGTAAAATAAAGAGAACGAAGGGTGTTAGGGAAAATCTAAAGCAAAGCTCCGTACAGGAATGTAGAATGAAAAATTGGCATGCAGTAAAATAAAGAGAACGAAGGATTTTAGAGAAATTCTAAAGCAAACCTCCCTACAGCAACCTAGCATGAAAAATTGGCAGGCAGTAAAATAAAGAGAACGAAGGGTGTTAGGGAAAATCTAAAGCAAAGCTCCGTACAGGAATGTAGAATGAAAAATTGGCATGCAGTAAAATAAAGAGAACGAAGGATTTTAGAGAAATTTTAAAGCAAAACTCCTTATAGGAACATAGCGATAAAAATTGACAGGCAGTAAAATAACGAGAAAGAAGGATTTTAGAGAAATTAAAAAGCAAAGCTCCCTACAGGAACGTAGCAATATAAATTGACAGGGAGTAAAATGAAGAGAAAGAGGGATTTTAGAGAAACTCTAAAGCAAAGCTTCCTACAGCAATGTAGCAATAAAAATTGGCAGGCAGTAAAATAAAGAGAACGAAGGGTGTTAGGGAAAATCTAAAGCAAAGCTCCGTACAGGAATGTAGAATGAAAAATTGGCAGGCAGTAAAATAAAGAGAACGAAGGATTTTAGAGAAACTCTAAAGCAAAGCTCCCTACAGCAACGTAGCATGAAAATATGGCAGGCAGTAAAATAAAGAGAACGAAGGGTCTTAGGGAAATTCTAAAGCAAAGCTCCCTACAGGAACATAGCAATAAAAATTTACATACAGTAAAAAAAGAAAACGAAAGATTTTAGAGAAACTCTAAAGCAAAGCTCCGTACAGGAATGTAGAATGAAAAATTGGCAGGCAGTAAAATAAAGAAAACAAAGGGTCTTAGGGAAATTCTAAAGCAAAGCTCCCTACAGGAACATAGCAATAAAAATTGACATACAGTAAAAAAAAGAGAACGAAGGATTTTAGAGAAACTCTAAAGCAAAGCTCCGTACAGCAACGTAGCATGAAAATATGGCAGGCAGTAAAATAAAGAGAACGAAGGGTCTTAGGGAAATTCTAAAGCAAAGCTCCCTACAGGAACATAGCAATAAAAATTGACATACAGTAAAAAAAGAAAACGAAAGATTTTAGAGAAACTCTAAAGCAAAGCTCCGTACAGGAATGTAGAATGAAAAATTGACAGGCAGTAAAATAAAGAGAACAAAGGGTCTTAGGGAAATTCTAAAGCAAAGCTCCCTACAGGAACATAGCAATAAAAATTG